CCCCGCCGTACCACTCCGGGGGTGGAGGGGCGTAGGCGGGCAGTGTAGGAAGGTGGACTGTACGTGCGCGCGGCCACCGCCATCGTGATCGGGTTAGCGGAGCGGTAAGAACAAGCGGGCTGGGGGTGTGCTGTACACACAACTGTGTCCCGGCCGGGGACCGGGATGAGGGGGACTGGAGATCCCGCCCATATGTTAGATGATCCAGCAGCCGCCCGCCGCCCCTCCGGCCTCAGGCCCGACCCGCGAGCGGGTGAAATATGCGAAGTGCGACGCCGGCGACGCGGGATGGGGAAACTGACACCGCGCGAGAGGTCCTTGCTGATGCTGGCGTGCCCGCGGGGTAACAGATGAGCCCGGAGGTGGGGGGATAGCCAGGGATCACGCCGGCGGGAAGGAACTGCAAATGCACATGACCCCTGGCCCGGCCCGGGAGGGTTGGGGAGGCGGTGGTGGTGGTGCGAGGGCCGGGGGCCGGGGCCCTTCTTGCAAGCGAGTTTACTACAACGGTCGCTGAGGCCTGGCAGGCAGGCACGCCTAAGGGCGGGCCCCGGTGCGTCTCTGTTGCCTAACGCCCCTGGCCGGCAGTAGCGCCCCCGCCGCACATGCGGCCCCATATCAGCTGGAGTAGAGCGGCGTGCTGTCGGGCCGCTGGCGGCGGGCCAGGCCAGGAAGAGCCGGACCGGGACGTAGCTCGGGATGTACTGGCCGGCCGCCGAGCAGGTGGGGCCGAGGCTAGGGGCCAGCCCGCGCCAGCTCCTGCCCCCGGGCAGACAGCTCCAATAAAGGTAGTGGCGAGCCGGGGCGTTTTACGCCCCCGCCGTGAATGTTCTGCGTTTGCGACCAGTATTTCCCTTTAGGGTACAGTAATTTTTTTGTGGCGATCGCGTACGCAGTGTTATTTGGCTACGGCGGCGTGGTCCTGTGCAGCGGCGCCGACCCGCCTCCGCCTAACCTCCGCCTGACTGTCGCGGCGGCCGAGTCGATCGCCGCTGGTGGGCGCCTGGCGACGGCCGGCTAGGCAACCCCTCGCGCACGCAGACCGGCCGCGTTGCGTGTAGCCGTGTAGCCGGGCGCCTTCGCCTCGCGCGCGGCCGCCCGCCGCGACCCGCCTCGTCCCGCCCTCGCGTGCCTCTCGTGCCCGCCCCGACCGTCCCCGATGCCGATACTGAACGTTGGTTCTCTCCATCCGTTGCAGGTTCCCCCGGGACCAGCAGACTCTGCCCAACCACTTCTACTTCACGGACTTCGAGAGGCACACGGCTGAGATCGCCGCCTTTCACCTCGACAGGTAAGCAGCGGGACCGTGTGTTTGCAGGGGTGTTGAAGAAAGTCTAAGACGAGATACAGGAGGATGGTCCACAGACGCCTTCCTTTATTTTGCTTATGCTGTACCGAATGCAGGCGTGCGGCCGGGTTGCATGCATACTCGCACCGCACGGGGCCATTTGGCGCAACGGCAAGCTCGAGGGCAAGCTAGAGTAGGCAAGCCCGCCCGCACCACTGCATGCGGAACAGTACAAGCAAAATAAAGGAAGGGGTCTGTTGGCCACCCTGTATGAGATTTCAATGAATAAAAATGTCATTATGTCATCATTTGTAAAATACATTAATTCACTCATTGTTTTCTTAAGAAATAATTATTTGGAAATGTTACGGTTTCTGAAGTGGGCCCTTGATCTGTCCTGTAGGCTGCTGGGCTTCCGTCGTGCCATGCCCGTGACTGGGCGCACGCTCAACATGACCACCGAGCTGTACCAGCTGGCGGACGGCGAGCTGCTCAAGACCTTCTTCGTGTCGCCCTCGTCCAACCTGTGCTTCCACGGCAAGTGCTCCTACTACTGCGACACCGCGCACGCCATCTGCGGCAGCCCCGACACTCTGGAGGGCTCCTTCGCCGCCTTCCTGCCGCCCAAGGAGATGGCGACGCGCAAGGTGTGGCGTCACCCCTGGAGGCGCTCCTACCACAAGCGCAAGAAGGCCCAGTGGGAGATGGGTGAGTGCCGACCGGTGGACAAAGTTCAAATTATTTATAGCATTTTGTTTTATTGCAAACATGACTAACTATTTTACAAATTGATTTTTATTTTAAAATGTTTTGAGTTCATACCGTTTATACCGAGGTTAATACAAGCTTTTAAAAGAGCATTTCTCGCGGTTTTTGTTCTCCTTCAGACCAAGACTACTGCTCGCTCGTCAAGGACATCCCGCCCTACGACAGCGGCCGCCGCCTGCTCGACCTCATGGACATGGCTGTGTTCGACTTCCTCATGGGCAACATGGACCGCCACCACTACGAGACGTTCCGCCTCTTCGGCAACGAGACCTTCCCCGTCCACCTGGACCACGGCCGAGGCTTCGGCCAGCCCTTCCACGACGAGATGTCCATCCTGGCGCCCATCATCCAGTGCTGCATGATCCGCCACGAGACGCTCAGTACCCTCATCAGGTACGTGACTTAAAACGTGGTGGGTTCGAAGATGTATCCGTAAACCTCCTGCATCAACATATTTCCTGCTGCACACCGTACACACATACGGAGCCTCTCCGGTGTGGGTTCGATAATGTCTGCGCAAAGATCCTCCTCGCGCAAATTTCCTGTTGCACACAATACACTCATACGGGGTCTCTCCGGTGTGGGTTCGAAAATGTCTGCGCAAAGTTGCTGCTAGCGCAAATTTCTTGTTGCACACAGTACACTCATACGGGGTCTCTCC